AATACAATTCATTCTTTCTCCATTCTGATTAAGTACCGCTTGCGGGAGAACGTGGTCGAGTGATTGTACTTTATGAATCACTTTGTTTCTAGAAAGATTCCAGAAAGTGAAATGCTTGAGAGGCAATCAATGAAATACGTTTAAAAAAAAAATTCATTTAAATGATAGAATATTTTGCCCATAAAAGCCCAATCGACGAATATGGTCAACTTGCTTAGTTCTCGTGAATCTCGTTCAATATGACACACTGCTGCATGAAGTATTTTTAACTTGGCGGAAGGACACACTTTCACTTGTCCCTCGGACTAAAAGCAAGAAAATACCGTATTTTCCGATTATTCAAAATATTAAAGTAACTCATGCAGCTCCTTCCAAGCCGTGGCATTTCGGGACGAATGAATGAGATGGAGTGCATTATTATGGCAAAAATTCGCGCGAGAAAAAGGCCTGTCTGCTTTGGACTGAAGTGGAAGAAGTGGCACTCGATGTGACAGACGGGAGAGACGGAATGGCTTGAAAAGCCTTTTGATCTCGCAATATCGTGTGGATCCAGCTGCCACCTCATCAAGAGGACGAGGATTGGCCCGATGTTTTTCTTGCTCGCCAAATTCCCCGAGCTCGTCCTCTTCGCTTTATTTATCCAAGGAGATAAGAGCCTCATATTGGATCCAGGCAATTCCAGGCAGAATATGACCCACGGCGCGACTCTATGGAATGGGATTATGAAAATGGGTCCGCGATGACAGGGGCACAATAATTGGATTCCTCGGCCCTTTCATCGAGGCCCGATTGTGCACGAGGGCCTTGGGGACGGGCTCCACCAGTCGCATAATAGGAATCCCTCCTTTGGGGGGCGGGGCCTCGAACGGTCCCGCCAATCCTGGCCGGGATGGACGGGGGACGCCTCATTGGGTCTCCGCTCCATGACGTCACGCTAACGGGCCAAAGATCAGATTCTTAGTGTGGTCTGGGATGTTGATTTAAAAGAAGCTGGCAAGACTTGGCTCTGTTTTCATTCCTGCACGGCTGTGTTTCTTTTAGCGTGAGCAGTGTGTGTTCTAAAGAAACAAGCTCCGTGTTTTGAATTCATTTCTCCTCGGTTGTGACTGATAACAATTTAGGGTTAACTGTTTGGTGAATTTAATCAAAATTTTGTGGATAGTCTCCGTGTGGTTTCATGTGCAGATCAGTGTGTTTACTTTCTAAATGGATGGTGTTTTCACAGTGCTAGGTGAATGCAGCACGGGCCAGGAGAAATAACAAACTGGGATACAACCCAGCGAAGGGTGTGAAAAACCAGTGAGTGCAAGCGGACACGATTTTTTCCCAACGCGACTTCTCAATATCCTCTAATCATGCATACCATTTTCGGTGACCAGAATACCTATTACCGTCATACTCCCAACTATTCTTCGGCGCTGCAGCCTATGTCCGGAATGTCGTCGAATATGTACAGTCCCGATGCATACACTGCTAGCATGACCAGGTACAATCCCTATGCTCCTTATTCGTCGCCGCATCACACTCCGGCCAAAGACATGGTGAAGCCTCCCTATTCGTATATTGCGCTCATCGCAATGGCGATCCAGCACATGCCCGATAAGAAAATAACCCTGAATGGAATTTACCAGTTCATCATGGAACGCTTCCCGTATTACCGTGAAAACAAACAAGGATGGCAGAACTCGATCAGACACAATTTGAGCCTCAACGAATGTTTCGTCAAAGTACCTCGCGACGACAAGAAGCCCGGAAAGGGAAGCTATTGGACCTTGGATCCAGACGCCGTCGGCATGTTCGACAATGGCTCTTATTTGAGACGTCGGCGACGTTTCAAGAAGAAAGATGCCCAGCGCGAAAAGGAGGAGCAGCTCAAGAAACAACAGCAGCATCAAGAGAAGGATGGCCAAGGTAACGATATGCAGGTATCTTCGTCCACTCCCACACAACAGAGTGACGTGCCGACTTCTCTCGTGAATCCTGGCTACATAAAAGTGAAATCGGAAGTGGATCCGGAAGGCGTGAAAATGAATTCATGTCTGAGTGCGGACGTGAAAGGGCTCGATAGTGCCACTGCCCGATCAGTGAACAGTCCCATTTCTCACATCAACGATGGCTGTCAGCTCTCTTCGTTGGAGTCTGGTGCCCATTCCGTCAACAATTTCTCTGTGGACACCCTCATGATGGGGCGAGATAATCAGAGCACCAATCACAGTCTCCTGTCGGAACTCCCTTCGTCCACATCCAGTACTTCCAGTGCATCCGCAGTAGCAGCATTCAGCTACCCTCGAGGTCCATTGTACCCCTGCGGTCAAGTCTCACCGTCTCCATTGAATCTGGGTCCAGGTGGAATCGGAGCATCGTCCGTGTATCCCTTCCAACAAGCGCTCTACGGTTCCCCGTCGAGCATCGGTGAAGATTCGACCGCCCAGGGTTTGCTGGGATCGTCTCAATCCCACCTCAGTTCCACTCAACAGCAGGGATATGCCAGGGGCAGCTGGTATTCTGTATCACCCGAAGCAAGCAGCTCTTCACTAAGTGATCCTGGTACCTACCTCTATCCCAATGGTTCTCCATCAACGGCAGCCAATTGTCAAATGGGATTTCGTAGCACTACCTATCGAAACCCATATTATTCGGATTGCTCGAAATACTGACATTGCCGAGCTAGTTTTGAGGTTTCTTTCTGCAGGGTATATTGTACCGGTAAACGCAAGCTGGAACGAGAGTATTCTCTTGGCACCTATCAGAATCGAAAAAGCGCTAAGAGAAATTTGCGGGCAGGGAATGACACATACCTACGCTTATGTGACTGCGAGAGATATCTACAATTTCATGAAGCATTACGCTTAACGAAGTGGCGATGGATCTAGAATTGAATATAGTGGATTTGGGTGGAGCTTTCATGCATCCAAGTCTGCAAGCACAAAAGGAAGCTATCTCTTTTTGTAAGTAGTGTGTATGGAAGATTCTGTGATAATGGACAGTGCTGATGATGTCACCCAGTCCTACCTCTCGCTCCGTAGGTGTTTCATATCCAGCATACTAATTGGCTAATATGTTGTGCCATGTAGATGACTCGGTTTCCCGTTTCCTCATACCTGTTCTGCTTGGTGGAAGAGCAAAATTTCCAATGGAGCAAAGTTCATCCGACTACTGTGTCGTGGAATCTCTGGGTTAAATGCCCCGTGAGAGGAGAGAAAGGCAAATGTGGGAGGTGGATTTCCACATTCCGAATGGACAGCACTTGAGAATCTCAGTCGTCCCATCCGTTTTCGCTTCACATGCGCTACGGCAGAATTCCCCAATTATATTCATCCCATGTCCATTATTTATTTTTCTTCAGCCTGCAATAATATTTGTTTTCGTTAATCCGAGCGGGCGAGGATTCAAACGGTATAAAAGGAGCCATGCAAGGGCCCTTGCCTGGGAATGAGTTGGAGTTTGTCGGCAGCTAGGCCTGTAGGACGGAAGGCCATCTCCACATCCGTGACCTTTCTCCCATCCCTCCTTTCTCCTTTGATGGGGAATATTCATCGTAAAACTCTCGGAGCACCGACTTGCATTGTGCACGGGCTGCATGGTATTGCGAGCAAAGCCCAGAGTGAGAGTGAGCGTGTGCGTTTCTCTGCCCCAGCTGTGCTTCGTTCTGTGACTTCCGTCTAAGTCTAGGCCTCGTACGGGAGTTCTACTCCCGTCTGCCTCTTCGCATTTCTCCCTAGGCTTAACGACCACGTTGATTGCCTCCTGAGTTCTCTCACCGAGTGGGGACCGTTCGCTTGCATATGCACAGATCCGCATGGGGATGCGTTGAGTATGCACTGAGTATGCATCACATAGCAGTAGAAGATCCGGGAGCGGACAGACAAGAAACGGTGTGCGTGCGTTATGTAAACTTTAAAAATGTACTGTCCACTTCATTGCTCACTTGGATCGATCGTCTTCCACTTCTCGAATGCTCTCATGTCACCTGCAAATACAAGCATAGAATTCGGACCTCCCGATTTCCCATTTGACATTTGGATCAATATGATGATTATCGTTTAGTCATTTATGAATAACCGTGTAGGTTAGTTTAACGTGCTTCTAGAGTGTTCCGCGTAGGTTTTACATGCAGATTATATAAGTAACTGCTAGACTTTCTGGGAAATTACTAAGCAAGCTTAGAGTCGTTATAAATTACGACTTTCATTTTGGGCAAAAGGTTGAACACTAGCTCAATGTAGTACTAGTAGACTTTTCCATCAAGAGAATTTCTTCCACGTTAATTCCTTTTAATTCCTGTCTCTGGTGAGAGGAGTCAGTCGTGGCCGTAAATCACATTACTTTGGCTTCCTGACGTCTGTGACGCCACGAAATGACGTTGTCATTTTTAGAACTCCGAAGCTCGTGTCTGTCCTTTCACTTTGTGTTCACGGCGTTCTTCTTTTGGTCGAAAGCTTTACAAGTGTCTGTTCGATGGAATAGAGGCACTTGGGATTGTCTAGAAGGAACTCCATTTTATGTCCCTGTTACTGCACTAACTCCTTGTAACTGAAACGGTTTTGGATGAATTTCCTTGTCTGCGTGTGTAGGTGGAACTTTTCCAGTGCATGATGATGTGTGACCATGTATTGTGGGGTATGGGCAAGGCGTCAAGTGATCTGATACATGGATATAAATAATAATAGGAGATGATACCTTGAAATCAGACCCGGTGTCTCGTCGTTTTTTATTCCTACCTCTCATCACTTTCTCATTCTCTGTTGATGAGATAACAAGGCCATTCCAGTGGCGCGAAACAAATCCATCCGAAGTGAGGTGACATTTGAGACCGCAGCATCCTCTCCACATGTTTATATGAAGGAGATGCAAGATAAGAACAAGATCTCAAATGACTTCCCTTCGGGAGCATGTCATCTTAGTCTGTCTCTTCTCTCGCTCCCAAACTAAAGGCTTGTCTGGGCCATGAACAAGGTTCCACTTTCGCAAACAGACCACCTATTATGCATCTACGGATCAATTTTAGCCGATATTACAATACAATTCTCTTACATGGGGATGTTATGCGAGAAGGCCTTGTTTGGACGTAGGCCAATTTGCACGGCCAATTTCCTGTAATGCTTCCTCGTATGTCAACCAAAGTGGTGAAGCGCACATCGGAATGTCTTCTATAGTGCGTTCTAAAACACGGTTCAGGACTACAAAAGATAGAGAAAGAAAAGTAAACAACTATTTCAGAGTTATTGAATGTGTTCACCTTCGTGATATATTGAGGCGAGTCTTCGGTGCTCCTACCCTATTAGCAGCGATTTCATGTAAAATATGGAGCTTCCGACAGTATCAAGACTATTAGATACTACGAAGCGTGTCGGTCGAAAAATTCTCCCCCTGTGCGGTTTTGCTGATGAACATTAGACGTGCTTGCTAATCGAGTCTTTTGAACTCCTTTGCTTTCATCAGCATTGACAGACAATTGCAAAGGGACTTTCTTGAGAAAGGCGGGAAGAGGGGGGAGGATGAAGAGAAGCGGAATAAGTTTTAATTAGACCAAACAGGCCGTCATCGATGTTTACGCGGAGGATCAGCATCAGAGACAGAAGGAGCTCTGATTTTGAGTCCGGAAACTCGTGTGGCTCGGTCGGGAGCATTGTATACATCTGGTGGTCCAGAACCCCCCCAATCCCCCCTGGTAAACATCCTTCCGCTTTTGCCTTCTTCCTGGTATACAGTGTACAGGTTCCTTCGCATCCATGCACTTTGGCACATATCCCTCCGAGACTCGTGCTCAGAGTTTACATTCACCTCCTCTGCCGAGGTTCAGCTCCCTTGCTCCCCGCCCTTTCTTTCTCAATTACTCGGGGCCGAATACAAGGCAACACGATTACTTATCATCGAAGAGCAAGAGCCCTAATGGCTTTTGTGCTCTATCCCAAGAAGAGGTTCATTACAGATCTCTCTCTTCGGTCGAGCAATGAGCCGTCTCGCCCTCTTTTTTTCTTTCTCACTCCCATTTCAAGATACTCTGTCATTTATAGATTGCCTCTTACTCGCATCTGCCGATGACCCGCCGAAAATTCATTGTTAGCGAAGAATGAATGAGATGAGCTCGAATATATCCATAGTTGAATCGTCCCCGGACCGCCAAAGTGTTGAAGCATTGCACATTCCGACCGTGAGTAATAACGAGATACGTGTTGTCTCATTCGATTCTCAAGGTGCATGGCTCCCTCAAAGGCTCAATGGCTCCATCAAAATGGCTCCCTCCTGGTTCCTCAAAGTACATGCGAGGCATAATGGACCCAGATCAGCTTCTTATTCCTAACTTCCCTCGCTATGCGCATGCCTGTGTCGCTTCAGCTTTTAACGGCATAGGTAAAATTTCGAAGTTGGAGTCATTAATGACCCCAAAACCCATAATAGTGCCCTGCACTGAAATCCAAGAAGTACCATTTCTGGATTTCTGTAGACTCATGTCTCTGCAGTGAGAAAACAAGAACAGCTAAGATGTCAGAATTTAAGTTTTTCTCGTTTGTGGTTTGAAAACTTCAGATGAGGGGAGTGAAATCCGGCCCGTCAGATCATTTTTTCCGTCCCGCGAAACCTTCTTCAAACGTTGGTTTCGGAAAATCGTTGCCAAATAACCTCTTCCTATTAAAATTTAGGGTGAGGTAGAATTAGAAATTAGGATGAAATACAAATTAGAATTGTTTAGAATGGTCCCCAGTCATCCCTGAACAGTTCCATTCGACCTCCATTCCTGATCGAGTTTGACGCCTCGGCTCTTTAATACCCTCGAGAAGACAAATTCGTCATTATTTCCTCAAAGTACAGCGAAAGGCCCTCAATAATCATCTTCAAAATTATTTTGGAGCTACTTTCACTCCACTGTCCTGCGAGTACCTCTCCCATTCAATTTCAACATGGCTTTAGAACAAGGGTGCACAACGTACGGCCCGCGCGGCCCTCTCCCGCGGCCCGCCGCGATTGGTGGCGTTGTACTACTACGGCTTCTGGCTTGTCGGCCACAGGTATGGAAGTAAGTCATAGGGGTAGATGCGGCCCGCGGTAGGTGAATAAAAATCGTAAGCGGCCCTCACAATCTTTTGAGTTGTGCACCCCTATTCTAGAATATCTGAGAATCTCCGCTTCATTCCTATCACATGCGATAGTTCAGCAGGGAAACAGCGTCGAGTGACATTAGCTAAGATTTACTGTGAGACGGGGATCTCCGTCCATGTATAAAGTGGGGGCAAAAAACGGAAAAAGTTGTTGATAGCCCTTCTTTCCTCTTCGCAAACACGTATCTCTGGATTTTCACTCTGTTGGTACGCAGTTGTTTTGATTTCAAATAGAAACTCCTCAGAGGTCAGCCTCCCCAAACATCTTAAATTGCTAGTTAAACAAGCCGGGAGATGTTGGCAACGGCCCCATCACGGCTGGTGTTACTTCATTTTTAGCCTCCCCTTTCTAGGAGATGATTAACACAAGTCATTAATTAGGAGAAAGACAGGAAGGCAAGAGAGAGAGAAAGCAAGAGAGAAAAGTCTCATACACGGTCCACATCACCCCCGAGTCGACCTGGCATCATTAATACTCCCAGATCCTGGGATTTCGGCTCCTCGTTCTTTTTGGTCGCCTTTCCTTCCCCAGTTTCCTGGCACAAAGGCCAGAAGAG